TTTTTTTTATCATAGAATAAACATAGGTAGAATGTTCCGTAGGTAATAGTAGATTGTATTGTTAAATAGGTAAATTATATCGAGAATAATATTTAAAATTTGTCATTTATTTTGTATATTATATTTGCTTATTTAATATAATATTAAATAATATTATATCACAATTACATTTTATTGATATTTTTGTGAATATTTTAAAAGGTATCTATGTCAAATATAAAAAAATACATACTAAATGTATGTTTAACGAAACTTATTAACGTAACATTTAAATTACAAATATATTTATGTAAATTAGAAAAAGAGTCGTTCGTAAATGCTGGGTACGCGAAAGTTAAAAATGGACGAATTTATTCCACTTTGACTTTGATGTGGAAACCTAAAAATAAAATAAAAGAATAGTGAGCAGATTTAAACATGAAAAATTTAGCCTAATTATAATAACTTATACCTACATGTTCTTACGAAAAAAATGTGTATTAATATATTCGTCCTATATTTATGTACCCAAAGAAATGTCGCTTCTGAACATATTAATTTCATAATCTATATTCCATGACAGGAGATGGCGTCTTAGGAATAATTTATTTTCTTATTAATCTATAATACTTTTTATTGATTAAGTATCCTTTTAACCGATGAAAAGTAATTCCTTGGTTTTTACTGACATTTCTTGAATTATTTGTGCAATATCTAAGTACACACGACGGCATATTTTTATCAAGAGATTTTTTTAAATCAACACATGTGACGACTCTACAAGCGCCTAGCGAGTGACTGATTAAAGTGCGGTTTATGCACAGCAGTTGAGTGGAACAGAGTATAGTTGCCGACACGAATCGTGAGCACAGATAAACTGTGGTGGGAGTTAGGTACACTGTCGGGCAACATTATTGGGTACCTTTATTATTTCAATTCGTAATTGCATATTTTCGCCGACTTTTATAAAAATGTTTACTCGGACACATCAACTTATACTTTGATACAGTAATGTTGCAGATATTCGTGGCCGTTATTTTATTATCTACTATAAAGTATTTAATGTGTACCTGGTGGTTAGAATTGATTATTTTATTAAGAAGAAGGAAGAGGTGATACGCCTTCCATAAAATCTGGTGCTGCGGTGCACCGTACAGTAGAGCTACTGAGACATTAGTTGCCTCGGCAGTCTGTTTATATACGTTTATGATGTTTTTCGCAGTACCTAAATTTTTCATATAACTAAACACTGAATAGACCATTTGTCGGGATTGTCTATTTAACACCGAATTCTTCCTTCTCTGCATATTTAGACCAAAATCTGAACACTCAAATTATAACAATAAAAATAATTAAAAACAAGAAATAACAAAAACAATTAATAACAAGGAATACACAAACAACAATTAACAACGAGGTAACAAAAACAATTAACGAAAATAATCGAATTAAAAAAGTAATCACTAAAATTATTGCTCTTTAATGTACGGAAGCCGAATGATACGTTCGAAACCAATAGATGACGAGAATCGACTGATGAACCAATCACGTTGAACGTCAGCGTGGTCAACGTCGTATCGACCAATAAAAAGTGTGCTCACGACTTATGTCGGCAATTATAGCTGAATGTCGCCTCTAGTACGTAGTACATAATAGCTCAATGTAGTCAACCAAATCTAAGAAATACCTTTTGACGTTTCACATTAATCATTCCACAACAACTTTGCACCAGCGTACTCACACGATTTGAAATAACCTTTAACGTAAATCCGAAGAATTATGAAGTTATTTATATTTCATTACAACATGTATAGTTTTTTCATCACTAATTTAAACTTGAATTTTTCAAACAAATCAAAATACTAAAAAATAACCAGCATTAAATTTTTTTTCTTGACGTAGTTTCAATGATATGTCGCTATGTCTGTTACCGTAGTGTTTGAATGATTAAAATTCATTTTTATGCGAATGATCGGCAAAGTATTCAAATAATCGGTAAAAATTTTCAAATAATCGAATCATTAATTTTTTAATGTATTATTTGTTTTATGTAATTTTTATTTTCAAAAGTCCTTAAATTACATGAATCATGAATAAAACAAGTTTATTTTTTTTACTTTGTCAAAGTAAATTTGTGTAGGCAAAAAACTCATATACAAGGCCGTGCTAAAATAACCACTACATAATTTCAATATCCCGCCATTTCGGTACCAGTTACTCGACTCCACAGAGTCAGTAATTAATTCTTGGGGCGATGTATACACTTTTACAACAAAATCTTGTACAAAAACTTTATTAAACTAAGTTTGTATTGAAAGGGTTATTTTAATATTAAGGAATTTATGGATGATAACAACCCCTGGGTGGGTGATCGCTACCAAGCTATTTCTAATCTGTTTTGTGTTATTAATTGTAACACGCATGGTTGTATGCTCTTATTAAACTAAAAAGAAACTAGTACCGTTGAGTTTCGTGCTTGTTCTTCCCAGGACAGAGTTTTTTTTTTGCCAACCAGTAATAAATGCAAAAAGTGACTTTCAATATGTATTATTCATAATCTATATTTAATAAAAAGTTTCTGTTTCTGTTTCGAGAGCTTACTGTGCGTAATTTTGTGATTTGGGGATTGTCATCTTATTTTATGACTCGGCTTTAACTTTTTGGACTGTTTCTTATATAATAAGTTTTTGTACGTGGCAGAGCCACGCTACGTCTATATTATAGTTGTAGCACGACTGGGTCAGCTCAACCGGGGCAGGACCACGCTCTCACAAGAATACCAGCATAAAATAGCAGCGTAATGCTGCTGTGTTTCGTATGGTGAGTGTAAAGAACCGGATACCCTTTTTTACCGGAATCGAGGCATTCCATCTTAATCCTCTGAGGTGACAACGCAGTTGCATTTTGATTCTTAATTGAGGATAAATATGTATATCTATGGGCCATAGCATCCACTTACCATCATATGGACTGTGTGCTCGTTTGTCACCCAATGCTTTAAAAAATATATTCGTTGAAGCATGCGCCCATGTCACAAAGGATGATTGTATGATGAAAAGTGGTAGAAAAAAACAAAAAAATTGTTTATGGATGACTTTGAAAGAGACATTAATTTTGACTTCATTATTGAAAATGAAATAATACGTGATATAAACAACGACATCTCTACTAGTTGTACTGAAAGTGATTGAATAAATTTATTTTTGATCTAGTTTCAATCTTGAATTTTTATAGCTGAGCCTCTAGAAATAAGCAGTAAACAAATACGAAGAAACTGATAAACCTTGTGCTTTAAATTATCCGTTTTTAATTTATTCTGGTATTATTCAAACCAAACTGTTAATGATTACAACTCTAAATAATCGGTATCGATTTTTTTAAGAATCGAATATTGTACGTTCGAGGAGTAGTCGTTACAAAACGTAACTAGTTACTGAAACTATCTATTCACACAATAGCGGGTAGCGGGTTATTGCAGTGCAACGAAACTATATATTACAGTAGACGTTTTACTCAGTAACACGATTCACGTTTCACGAATCACGAAAGAGCGATCAGTAACAAAACGTTTATTCGGCTATTTTCGCCACGCATCGGCGACGGCTTCGGCTGTTGAAATAGAAGCACATGAGTAAAGAAACCGAAGCTGTGGTAGAAGTACCACCGGTCGTCGAACGTCTAGTGAGCGCGGGTGCTTTTGCATTTGACCTATGACACTATTACCTCCGTATAGATGCGATATTAGAAATGAGAAAGTAAGTGTGCATGTTTTTAACAAAAAATTGTTCAAATTCCATAAATTAAGTGGCCTTGGCCCAGTTTAAATTAGTCTTGTGTTTAAGTTTAATGACACGGTTTGTTTTTACTTTTTAGGTGCGTTTGTTAATATTTAAAAAAATTATATCATTCCGCTGAAATATTAATTTCAACTTGTTCATTTATCTCATTTATATTAATGTGTTTTTGTTTTTTTTTTTTGTGTAATAATAATAATATTTTTAGTAAAATAAGAACTAAATACAATTGTATATATTAGTGTTAATAATAATAATTGTACAGTAATTAGTGTAAGTAACTAAGTGCAAAAATAATACTAAAACTTTATGTGATAGTTAACAAAAATATCTCGAAGTAATGCCAGTGTACTTTGGGACTATTTTACAAAAAATACTACAAACATGAAGGCCAATATTCTATAAAAACATCAATACATGTATTCATTTGATTTATTACATAAAAATGTAGGCTTGAGATGTCTAAAATAAGCATTGTAATAATTATTTGCTATAAAATCAAACTTATATTCAATATTTTATGCTGAACTTGTGGGTGAATTTATTATAATCATAATTATTAAATAAATCGTTTGCCGTTAAATCTTTTCAAGTGATATTTTTATCAAACCGTGCGAAATGATTAAACAAATAAATAAATTTAACCATTAACACCATGTCTAATTCTATACGAAACGGTAACAAACAATTTTCTCGTCAAACGGACATCGTTTCATTCGCAACGTTTTTAAATTAAACACGTCGTGAAACACTCTATTGAAGCCGCTATTAAAATAGAGTGTTTCAAAACCCTCTATTAAAATAGAGTGTTTCAAAAGCCGCTATTGATATTCGATAGATAGTTTCGTTTCGTTACTCAAAAAAGCCGCTACTACCCACCGCTACGTTCTCATTTTTTGGTTGGCATGCATGCATGGTGCAATAAGTCTGACAGCTGTCAAAATGTATTTCTTAGAAATGGTTGACTTAAAGTAATTGGGATTAACACCTATTTTACAGACCAAATAGAGAAACTAATAATGTTTTTTAGTTCAATTACGTCCGTGGTGGTGGTGCAGGTGTTCAATTAAAAACTTTATAAGCATATAGGGTTTTATGCTTTACGCTTAGCCTCGTAAAATCTATTAAATCAAAATAACAACCCTCATATTAAGCTATAACGGGATCTATTTCTCACCACTTTAAAAATCGTTGAATAATTAGTATTTATTTATGCGATTACTAAAAATGAATGCTCGTAAATTTTTTCAAAGTTATCAAACGCTTCTTAACAAGCGCCCATATTTAGTTCAAGCTATCCAAACGGGAACTTTAATGGGTGCTGGTGATTTCATATCTCAAACTGTAATAGAAAAGAAATCTGTTAAATATGTTGATTATAAAAGAACCCTCAGATTTTCTTCAATTGGATTTTTTGTAGGTGTAAGTATTAGTAATCTTCAAGAAAACTCAATTTATATATATATGTATAGAGCATTGGGGTAGATCGGTGACGGGGTAAGACCGTAAAATTCAAACTCCCGGTGAATTATGCTATTTTATTATATTTTTGAAACCTAGCAATATGGTACAAGACTCCATTTTATTCTGCCCCGACCCAAGTTTCAGCCAGTCAGCATTATTTTATAAAACAAGGTAATTTTTGTATTTTTTTGTCTGTCCGGTCTTTCCCTATCACTTTTATCCAGACGTCCAGTCTTCCCCTTGATGGCCAATTCTTCATCATGCATATAAAAAATTATGCCTTGTCTTCGCACATGTTTTAAGCAGAAACTGTTGAGTTTTGAAAAGTAAAAGCTTCTTATAGCTAAATTACGTGTAACCATTAACAATCTGTGCTATGCTTCAGAAATATGACGTATATGGATGTCGAGAAAATAAAGTTTTTGCCCGACTCTTTTAACTAGTCGAAAATCATCCGGTATTACCCCAACTCACCTTATATATATATATATATAATACAGACAGAGTTGTAATATATATATATATATATGAATATATATTACAACTTACAATGTGAGCTACTTAACTTTCATGTCCAAAAACATTCAATATCATGCATTCTGATTCGCTTAAACTTTGTTGATTAACACTTTTTTTCTATTAAAGTAATGGATAGTTTATGTAAAACACAAAATTAAAAGTTAACACAATAGAATTGGTAACCTCTATTTATATATCAATAATGTAATAATACTTTTTGAATTTTCAGGGTCCAGCTTTGAGAGCCTGGTATGGATTTTTAAATAAATATGTAGGCTCAAAGGGTAAAGCAGTGGCAATACAGAAGGTGTTTATAGATCAGATTATTTTTGCTCCTACATTTCTTTTATTTATTCTAGCTTCTGTGGGTATAATGCAAGGCAAATCTTTAGAAAATATAGAAAATGATATTAAATACAATTATTTAGAAGTATTAAAAACAAACTATTACATTTGGCCAGTGGTACAAATAATAAATTTTTATTATGTTCCATTACAATATCAAGTTTTAATTGTTCAAACAGTAGCTCTATTCTGGAATACCTATTTGTCATGGAAAACAAATAGAAATGGTTTGATACAGTAATTATGACAGTAAATGTTATTCTTTTTAATATGTTGCCGTTTCACAATTTGTAACTTATTCGTAAAATACTTATATGTAGTTCTGAATTTACTAAATATTGTTATTTAATTTCTTTAGTAGATAACTAATAAAAGCTATTGTATAATGTAAGTAAATACTTTAAACCTAAATATTTGTTAAATTTTCTTCAGTTGATAAAAAATTATGTCTTACTTAAAGTTGCAAGCATATTATTTATTTGCCTATAAGAATTACTCAGCAGTAGTTAGCGCATGAGTACTGAAAACTATTCCACCTCAATTTTTTATGCCTATCTATAGATTGTCCTACTGATGATATAAATAAAGTATCCAATTTGGGATTTTCAAACCTTTAAAATTTATAACTCCAAAAATATTACCTTATTATTGGTATTTTATCAAAAAATATAAAAAAATGACCCATTTGAAAATCACAATTGCTTGCAATTGTAAAAAATAATGGGTTTGAATAATATGGCACCGAGTTGCATTATGGCAACATGCAATTATACGTATCATCATTAGGACAATTTAAAAAGAATCGCAGAAAAAATTGAGGTAGAATAAAATTTTCAGTACTCATGTGCTGGCACTAAATAAGAATAGTCCTAATTATTCTATTATAATTATGCTTGTCATAATTATTGTATTACTAGTTTTCCACCATCTATGAAAGGTGAAAAGGTACAAAATTCAATTTTTTTTTGTATGAATGATAAGCCATATCTACATTGAGATAAAAGATATATATATATATATAAATTTTACTTTTGATATGACCCTGAATAAATTTAGTGAAAAAATTCCACCTTTAAGGGTATAAATATACACAATAAAGTGTAAAATCAAACAAAAAAACCTCAAACAAAACAAAGCTAAATCCTATACTCATAGATTGCCTCATGATGGGCAAATAGGGTTGGCAGCTCGAGCTTTTATTATACTTTGATATACCTACTACATCATGCATGCTAAGCTCAGTCATTGGTGGGCCAAATGCATAAACATTGCAGAATTAATAGGCCCTTAGAGTATACACATGCAAACTATGCTTATATATACTCGAGTGGGCCACAAAACCCAACCATATAGAAAGAAAAAAAAACTCAATGCATCGACAGAGTGGGAAAATTATTGTTTATTTAATACTTAGAGTAAAATGTTAGTAATATGTATATATATATATATTTATTTTTCAATAATTTGACATCTTTTGTTGCCCACTTGATGGGTGGATTTTCTTCTGGATCTTAGAGGCAGTTAACATATATTAATTTAAAAAAGGACATACATCCAGACCTGGAACAATTATTTGCAGGCCATACAAATACTTGTTCCGTGCTGGAATTCGCGGCCCTAACCGCCATAACTCATTTCTAAGCAATTGCGTCGCAAGATCGACATGGGTAATTCTCAGAAATTCCTTGCGTTAAGGCGACTACAAGAGCCAAGTGACCTAACGCCAGAGTGTTTTAATAGATAAGATAACGAGTAACGCCGTTTATACATCTTTATGATTTACATAAATGTTTTTTAGATTTACATTATTTTACATTTAGTTTAAGCTTTATTATACACACACATATATACATATATATATATATATATATATTTTTTATATATATAACGTAATTTATGGGAAACCACTACTTACGGCCTGCGCGCGCTCCTCTGTGTGCGATTCAATTCAAGTTTTTTATGAATCGTTATGAGACCTGTGTACTGCTAAAGCTTCTTCCAGTACGTGCTTCGATGAAAAATATTTACTTATATCAATAATTTCACAATGATTTTCGTGAGGTTCCACTGTTTCCAATCTATAAAAAATATTATAGAATTTAAATTACGTAGAAATATCGATTCTAAATATTCTAGTTCTATGGTTCACAAGATAGGTAATTTTGCATTTCGTTTATTTTTTTGTATTTGACTTGAAAAAATTGTTAAGCTACAAGTAAAAGAACTAACATTCATACATAATTTTTAATTACTATTTATTGTAAACAAAATCAATAAAACTAAATTCTTCCTTGTGATAAGTCACATCGCAATTTTTAGATGATTCTGTTATTTCGTCATGTTCATTATCTTTCATTTATCATAGCTTAGAAAAGTTGTAGGTACTTATGCATTATAAATAACATCCGTGTTGATATTTTCAACTTTCTTTTTCCTATTAAAAATAATTAATTTTCAAACTTTTTTTATTTATATATGAAAAAAGATTAAAATGTAATTGGTTGAGCGACAGGCCTAGGGGTTCTTGGGTCCGATTCCCAAGTCGGCCCTTGGCCTTACTATGCGAGATGTTACTAGGTGGACTGTATGTGCGCTTTCTTGATACCCCAAAAACAAGATGGCTGACGTGTCACGCGACAGCCTTGGACGATGCACTCGCTCTTCCAAAATCTACTTCTTCACCAGTGTCTAGAGGGAGGTCTACTTGAGCCGGTAGGGGAGAAAAATGTGACGGGAAAAACAACAAAAAAAAACGGTTCAAGTCAAATAAAAATGGAAAAAGGCACTTACCGGGGTGGAGTTCCTTCTGGTGCCTCGTGGACAACGCTCCTGGTCTGGTGCGTGACGATAACTCGCATTATGCGAGGCGGTTACTTCTAGCGGTTCTTCTGTGGCGAGGTTGCCACAGAAGTGCGATCACAACTAGCGGAGTCGTTGAACTACGATACAAGAAGGGGTGAGCGACGGCAGTGAATGTCTATATATGGACAGACCACTTCCATCTCGGCGGGGCGCGCTTCTGATTGGTTGAAAAGGTGGCACCACTTTCTAAACCCCTCTCCCCCTTCAGTGCATGCGGAACGAATGTGTGGATACAGGAAGGGAAGACACTAGCGAACAATAATCAACCCAACAAAATATATGAGAGTACTCGATTCTTTTTCCGCGAAACCATCCCCCCCGGCTTGAAGGGTCCTAACTAATTAACGACGAAACCCAATCTAACCTAGAAAGGTAATTCGAAACTATTGATTGGGCAAAGGGCACAGACAGACAACAGGACGCATGTACAGTCGTGGTCCTAACGCGAGCTGCCCTAGTTACCCCGTCGGATATGGGAAAAACCTGTTCGACGATCCCTAATGGCCAATGGAGAAGCGGCGTATTCTCCTTGGTGAGTACAACCACAGTTCCGACCGTTAAAGGTTTAGTTCTTGTGTTCCAATTTTGCCGAGACTGCAACGTATGCAAATATTACGTCTTCCATCGTTTCCAAAATGACTGCACCAGCCGGTCTAATAATTTATGGCGTGCAGAAATATTAAGTTTATTCTCGTCTATGTCTATGGCGAGCAGGTGTTTCAAAGGCGTTAGATTCAAAAAATGAGCTGGAATTAGAGCCAGCGGCTCCGAGGAGTCACTTGACAACGTACGACAAAGGGGGCGGCTATTCATGACGCACTCGATTTGCGCGAACACAGTGCTTAATTCTTCGAAAGACAAAATTTCATCTCCAATTACTCGGTATAAGTGGCTCTTTAGACTCTTAGTCTCCCAATTTCTCACGGCGGGGACGTTTAGAAACGACTCGGTGCGGCTCTCGGCTAAGATGTGGGCGAACTCCGAATTATAATATTTAGTGGCTAGAAATTCATGTAATTCCGGTAAAAAACGTTTCGCGCCGACGTAGTTCGTACCGTTATCCGAGTACATTTTACTTACAGGGATACGGCGGGAAAGAAACCTTTTAAATGCACCTATAGACATGATAATACAAACATAAGCCTTCGTGAATCTTATACCACTCCTGCGAGTGAGCGTGACCTTAAACGAACCAGCAAAGTTTGACCCGGTGTGCATAAACTCGGCTTTGCAGATTGTGACAAGACCTAAGATCCGCAATTTCCGGAAATGACGGCTTAGGACGTACTCGAAAGCAAGCCATACTGCTGTGCACCTGATTGCAAATTAAATTACGTGCAGAATCCAGTAATTCTGGCGCAAAATGGACATCAATAATTCGGGACCAGCGTGACAATTCAATTTATGGTGGTAATCAACTAATAAGTTCAAAATATGATCCTTACGCGGCAAAACTATAGAGTGCCGTTGATCGAAACTCAACTGTGAGTTAGATAAGCGCACACCTACTCTAACCATCCCATATTTTCAAAATGGCTTAAGGCTTTGAAAAGCGCGACTGCAAGTTCTATTCGATTGTAATCTTGTAATTTCGTGGGAAAAATGTACACGTTGAAGTTCACGCAATACTATAGATATACAAACGTCGCGGTAGAAGCTTCGCAAATCGACAAACGTATATCACGCTACGCAATAATTTTGACCAAGAGGAGAAACGGTTCGCCAAAGCAATGATGAGTTGAGATGACTGCGAGGGTTCTAAGGGAATCCAAGAAGTTCCTTGGAACCTAAGCGGGTTGTCCACTATTTTCATCGGAGTTAGTCCACGAGATAGACAATCGGCAGGTGTTTCCGTACCGAACACGTGATAAAAGTTCCGTGATCCTAACTCGTCTTGGATCTTGGCCACTCGGTTCGGGACGAACGTATCCCAACAGTGGGATGAAGGATGAACACAACATAAGGCGACGGGTGTGTCGGAAAAAGCAAATATTTTATCTATGTGAACTCGATCACTACATGCACTGGTAACTGCGGTGATAAGCTTGGCAAGGACCAATACCGCGCAAAGTTCTAGGCGTGCGAGAGAGAACCTTACGGGCGAGACCCTTGACTTAGAGCTAATGAGGCTGATCGATTTCCTACCATTGTTCTGGACGTGAAAATATACAACGCCGCCGTAAGCCTTCTCGCTAGCGACTGCAAACCCAACGGCAGTGACGATGCTAATTTTACCGACGTTTATATGACGTGGTATTTTAATTTCGCTTAGCAAAGGAAGTTCCTCCCTAAAACGTAGCCACGAATGAACAATGTTTTCAGGCGGCGTGTCATCCCAATCACATTCACATAACCAAAGTTATTTAATCAAAAGCTTAG